CAAACACGGCAGTATGGTCAAGGGGCCCAATTAGAAGTTGGCTCAAGTGGGCAGAGGCGTAGTGAAGGGGGCAGATGTCCCAGAGCGCCAGCTAGGTTGGGGCGCCAAAATGTGCTTTGAAATTATTTTATTGATGAACATAATGGGTTTGAGAGTTGAACAAAAGAAAAGGGGGCGCTTTAAAATGGATCTTGTCCCCGGGGGCCAAACACTCTCGCTACGCCTCTGCAAGTGGGTACTGTGCACAGGTTGCCGAGGGCTCAATGGAGCCAATGAGTGTAATGATCTAATGATTGGACAGTATGAATTTTTCTGAGCTTCTTCTTGAAATTCATTTTTCAATAATGTAGAGCAGAGTCAACCAAACATTTAAGTTTGGGCGGACCAGTTTCAAAACTGCACCAGGGACTGGTGCCAGATTTATTAATTATATATTCCAATAACTTGACAATAAATATTCATGTGGTGCCAAGTGGCATTGTAAGGCTCGTGGATCACTATTTGGGGGGGGGGGGGGGGGGGGGGGGGGGTGGGAAATGCTGCTATAGAGAATTTATATTTACATTTAAAAAAAAAAAATAAACAGTTCTTCCATTTTGAACATAGCATGAAATGATAAGTGACCAAGAGACATGATAAGTGACCAAGAGACGTGGCGGACGGAGAACTCTTTGGTTATCCTTCTTGACTTGTGTTTTCCTCCCCTGACCAGGTAGAGACCATCGGTGATGCGTACATGATAGTGAGCGGTGTGCCAGAGCAGACAAGCATCCACGCCCAGCTGGTGGCGAACTTCGCAATGGACATGGTGGAGGATGCTGGCCTAGTGACATCCCCTGCCACCGGGTTACCTTTACAGGTGGTCATTTTCTGAATGTTCTCTGGGCTGTCGTCTTGTTTTCCTGTTTACTTGGATACTCTTTCCTTTGGGTTTCTTTGGCGCCAACTAACTAAAGCAGCAATTGTAAAACTGCATACATGCCCCTCTTGTCGGACATTGCGTTACTGTACACTGTAAGGTGTGTGCAGAGGTGTAACACATTAAATACAGATATCCAGCCTAAATACCAATATGCACTTGAATTTGCTGTTAATTTTTTTTTTTTTTTTTAAGTGGTACAGCCCAAAATAATTGTTCAGAATCCCTTCTCTAAAAAGCTTTCAATCCATATCCATCAACTCTGAATTTAAACCAGGAGCCAGAATGATCAACAAATTGATCGTGGGCCACTCAAATATAAGAAGAAGAAGAACTTGATTGGAATTTTAGTTAAAGTGCTTCCATACATAATCTCCAAAGAATTATTATTTAATTTTAAGCACATAAAAATACTAATGCTACTCAATGTCGTACCCTTGCCATTTTTTAATACTTATCAAAGCGGGAGCTTCCTGGGTATTTTCTTAATGTGTGCATCCAGTGCGTGTCCCATGCATTTATGTGCAACTTTTTAAAACCATCTTCCGATGTGTCCTAGATCAGGGTGGGCATACACACGGGACCGGTGGTGGCAGGTGTGGTCGGGGTGAAGATGCCCAGGTACTGCTTGTTTGGTGACACGGTCAACACGGCCTCCAGGATGGAAAGTCACGGTGTGCCAGGCAGGATTCACTTGAGCCCAACGACTTATGAGTAAGATTGGTTTCATTTATAGTTGCAGTACAACGGGTCTATTCAATAGTTGCAGTACAACGGGTCTATTCAATAGTTGCAGTACAACGGGTCTATTCAATAGTTGCAGTACAACGGGTCTATTCAATAGTTGCAGTACAACGGGTCTATTCAATAGTTGCAGTACAACGGGTCTATTCAATAGTTGCAGTACAACGGGTCTATTCAATAGTTGCAGTACAACGGGTCTATTCAATAGTTGCAGTACAACGGGTCTATTCAATAGTTGCAGTACAACGGGTCTATTCAATAGTTGCAGTACAACGGGTCTATTCAATAGTTGCAGTACAACGGGTCTATTCAATAGTTGCAGTACAACGGGTCTATTCAATAGTTGCAGTACAACGGGTCTATTCAATAGTTGCAGTACAACGGGTCTATTCATAGTTTATGTAGTTGCATTTGATAAAGTTTATTAAAGCTTTATGAATCTTTTAATGAAAAAGCAAACTAAGAGCACGCCTCTGTCCATGGTGAACACCTCATCCTCATTCATTCCACAGAGCACTCGGGGGCTGGGGGTACTCCTTCAAGCACCGAGGTGAGATGGAAGTCAAGGGAAAGGGTAAAATGAGCACATACTTTCTCTGCGGTCATCTCAAACGCCGTCTGCGGGACCCGGAAGATGATTACACCGTCCTTGACGTTCACCAGGACGATAATGAGCGGGGAAGTTTTGCGGAATGGTTGAGTTCATCTAATAAACAAGCGGCGTTCCAGAGCGATCCCCAGCAAAGTGCCAGTTCCGACGACGAAGGTCAGGAAACACCACAGTTTTATGCGGGATCTGAATCTGAACAAAGTCCTGACAAGCATGTCAACGGTTTAGAGATGTCGGTCATTTCTGACGGTGGTGAAAAACCTCCTCACAAAAGTGAGAGTTCCCAAAGTATTCAGAGTAGTGCGTCTAAGCTGGTGAGGAACAAAAAAATTTCCAGAACTTCATTGGAAGGCGCCGTGCTCGAACAGGGCAGCGAGACAAGCAACGAGAGTAACAACACACCACATGCTGATGTCACAAACAGGAGTAAAGTCATCATCCTGACGCCATCCAGCACAAAAACATCTCTCGACTCCAACGACTGCGTCTACATCAGCGGCTCCTTCAAAAACACGTACCACGGTCGTAGAGAATCGTGCGAGGATGACGACTTTCACGGTGACCCGTCCCAAAGCAGTTGTCCACCCGCAGCATTACAAAGACGCACGGCAGACAACAACCCGGGGGTAGGCTGCAATGAAGAGACTACACTCGTAAATGTAAAACCACAAAACTTAGCGGCAGGTGGACCGAGCAGGATGACCCTGACGGCACAAGGTGTGGGATCCGGCTCTGCAAAAACCATACCAAACCAAACGAACCATGTATTGAAATCTCCTGTAAAGACTCTTCCTCGTGTACATCCCTCTCCCTCCCCACCCATCTCTGCTTTAAGTTGTCGTTCATTGTCGAAGAGTGAAACGTTTCCTCTGGCGGCCGCTTGTGGCGCAAGACCGAACGGTAAGCAGGTGGCGTCGTCGTCGTCGACATCCCAAATCGATTTAACAAGGATGTCACGTGAAAACAAAGGAAAGAAGCGAAAAAAAGACAGCAGTAAACTGTGTATAGTAGCTTGATGTGATAGATTAACCGGTACATGTTTTTCACCACGTCTGCCCAGAAATGAGACAAAAAAAAATAATTTCTTGCTTTATTGAAGAGGACAAACACCGGTGCAGTAGGAACTCAAATATCTGGACAAATTTTTGTTCAGAATCATTATTTGTGACCTCAACAATGTGTCATGATGTCCACTCTGACGATGGAAACTTCATAACAGTGACATTTTAGGTCGGTTTTCATCTTTCAAAGATGAGCACAACTTTTTTAGTCAGTGCAGGATGATGGACATGGCCTAGTAGTTCAAAGATGAGCGCACCACACTGTCAATTCAAAGATGACATAGTTCCAATATTGAGCACATCACAGACAGTTCATAGATAAACTCATCACTTAGTCAGCTCAAAGATGAACACATAGCAAAGCCAGTTCAAAACTGAGCACAGTCATTTCAAAGATGAGCACATGGCATTGTCTGTTCAAAGATGAACTCATCACACATTCAGTTCAAAGATGAGCACATGGCATAGTCCGTTCAGAGATGAACACATCACACAGTCAGTTAAAAAATGAACTCATCACACAGTCAGTTCAAAGATGAGCACATGGCATAGTCCGTTCAGAGATGAACACATCACACAGTCAGTTCAAAGATGAACTCGTCACACATTCAGTTTAATGATGAGCAAATCACAGTCAGTTGAAAGATGAACTCATCACACAGTCAGTTCAAAGATGAACTCATCACACAGTCCATTCAAAGATGAACTCATCACACAGTCAGTTCAAAGATGAGCGCATGGAATAGTCCGTTGAAAGATGAGAACATCACATTAATCATTGTGCAGAGCTTTAATCTCCAAGCCTTTTAAACAAAAGCCAGTGTTCTTATCAATGAAAGAAAAAGGAAACAGCTTTTTATTTTTCCTCCCTCGCTGATATCATGTCATCCATCACCTGATCTTTGATTTTATGTTCTAAAAACCTGGACAGAAATACTGCAGTCCGGGATAACTGAGCACCTACTGTATGACAAACCTACTGCATAACAAACCTACTGTATGACAAACCTTGTGTCCAACAAACATTCCCAATACCATGTTTTACCAGTGGAAAAAAAAAAAATCCTGTTTAATGTGTTTGTTACTAGTGAATAATTTTTGTTACAATAGATTTTTACTTTCAAGCACAAAGCTTATTATAACTCTCCCCCCCCCCCCTCTCCCCCCCCCCATTACCTACCACCGAGATAATAAAAAAAAAACTCATTATAAAATAACAGTGTTGGGATCTTGTGGGATATTTAAGCAGACCAGTACACTGGAAAATGTGCAACAATGTATGAATTTCTTATGGAAATTAACATTTTAGAAATATATTGTGGTATCGGTACTTAATTTCTTTTAAAATGGTGAAGCTTAAATTGTGTTCGGACTACAATTACACTTATCCAAAAGATAGATAGTGAAAAGTACCAGATGGATTAAATAAGATAAAGCCTATTTTTACAACATCAAAACAACACTATTACACAGTTAAAAATTGTGCCTTGTTGTGCATCCAAATTTTTAAATGGCCAAATGATTTTTTTTAATTACGCCTATGGCAAATAATTAAGTTAATCATATATTTCGTGATTTGTGAATGTAAAATATTTAGATAGATATATGCCACTAGTATAACTTAGCACAATACATTGGTAAAAAAAAAAAAAATCATTTCAAAACCCATCAGAAACTTCAAGCTGAAATATATCATGCAACTCTTTTAAAATTCAAATGTTAACTGTTAACACGTCTCAATAGTGCAAGAACTTATAACATAAAAATTTAGAAAACAAATTTCAACATTTATCATCACTTTTATTAATTTTGTAGATCATTTAAAAAAAGCTCAGTTCATCGGACTAGGTACGGGTAAACAATTAAAAAAAAAAAATATATCTTCAGTCAGTTATTAACATGAATTAGTTTTCAACAACTTCATTGCAGTCACAACACACAGTCCCATTCAGATCATGCGGTACTTGAAATTTATTAATGAATTTAATGGGGCTGAACCTCTTTTTGAAAATTATAATAATGGGATAGCTTCCCAATTTAATGTGAGGGCTGAGGACAGGGGAAGTGAACCTATGTTTAATTTTTATTTATTTATACTATAATCAATGCTATTTTCTTGTTTGAACAAGTGCGTGATGCATTTCAGTAAATAATTAATTATTACACTGATATTTTGATACCGTACAGAAAAACATAACACTTTTACAAATCTGACACTAATTTTTAAAATCATAAAAATAAAACCACGAAAAACAATTAATCATTTATTTTCAAGATCTTTGATTTAACTTGAGAGAGTTGTTTTAAATTTTTTTTTAAATTTATAATTATGCTTATTTTGATGACTAATTAAAAATAAAGCAGTCAAATGAAATAGAATTTACAAGTCAAATTTGGACTGTAAAGGATTTAAATATGGGACCTAACTTATTTCATCAAATCATCTATAACACATTATGCCAGCAGGTAAAACTCACAGGTTGAATCCAATAAGTCCTCACATAGCTAAGACAAATCCTTAGGGAAGACCACCCTCTCCCTGACATCCAAGTCATAGAGTGTTGGCCCTACTTCCAGTATTCTAGAACTACCTAAGCAAATATTGTCTTTGTAAAACACAGCAAACTGGCCGGGTGTCAAGGCCCTCATTGGCTGAGACAGAGTCACCAAAAAACCACCGCTGCTTTCTAATATGCCAGAGCATCCAATCAGGCGATGCTTGTGTTGAAATCTGAATCCCGCATCAAATGTGTTTGATTCTAAAACTGTCTTGGGTGTGCCCTGTATCCAGTAACATGGCCCAGTGCGCATGGTTTCTGAGAAAAGGGCTGGATGATCAGTACCAGGGGCCTAAGACACAAAACACAACAAATTAATTTAAACAAAATTAGTGTCAAAGCTGATAAAATTGCAGAAAATCCACATTAATTGAACTGTATTGGCAGATAATCTCTGGCCTTGTCCATCAAGAAGAGAAATTTTGTTAAAAGGCTAGCAAACCTCTCATCTTAAAAAAAAACAACAACCTTGCTATAGAAATAACACCAAGTGATAAAGTATAAAGGCTAAATGAGGTTCTTGAAAAAAAAAATTGCAGGGTTGCAAGTGCGATTAATGCATGATATTTTCTTTTGTTTTTGTTTTTCTGAAATGGTGTAATAAAACTGAGGTGTAAAAGCAGGTCAGACATTGGAATATTACTATAAAATAAAATAATAAAAAATGCATGCAAAGAATTAACACGAAAAACTTTGTCTTTTAGGGGTTTTTCATATGTGATGAAAAGATAAAATGGTATAGGGGCCTAAGGACTACAAACGTGGTAGAAATTCACAAAATGTGTTATTTTGGTCAATCATGTGTTTTAAAAAAAATTTTTTAAAAGCACTCATCAATTTTGTTCTTTCATACATTTTTCTTTTGCAGAAAAAGAAATTAAAATATTATCTTGAATAGCGCCATAAATGTAACTTACCACAATAACTTCATTTTCGTCTGGCTTCACCTCACAGACAAAATAGGCTGATGCTTTCCCTGGTATTAGGCAGCGCTGTCCTAGTGTCCAGTAGTGAGTTCCTTAAAGATATATTTAAAAAAAAACAACTTGTTTTAGATTTTTTAAAGTTCATTGCACTCTGTTCAGATCATATATTTTCTAGTTTGACAAACAAAAGACATTGGTTGGCGCGCTTGTTTAAATTTAAAATAATAAAAAAAAGAGGTCAGATGCTGCTAACAAGAAATAAAAAGATACATTATTTGGTTGTTTACCTTTATGTGTCCAAACAGGTTTCCCAGTCTCTACATCAATAAAAGGCCCATCTCTAGGCTCAATATACTTAAAAAATATGGGGTAAAAAAAATCGATTGTCAGATTTTGAGAAAAACAATATAATAATTTTATTGTTGCATTTTTCAATATTTAGTTGAAGACCTCAACAAGGCAATCAGATCGTGTAAATTAAGACTGAAAATATTAATTTAAAATGCACAAAAAGTGTTCCCTTATAGATATCAAAATACTGTACACAAATAAAATCATTGACCAACCTCTTCAATGAAACTATGAAAATTCCTGGATCCTATGAAGCAGATGCCCATGCTCTAGGAAGCAAAAAAAAAAAACAAAAGTGACACTGAATTAGTCTGATACATGTTTTTTTTCTTTAATAATTATTTATATATAAAACAGCAAGGACATTTTTAACATAATAAACTCTTACAGCCATTGAAGAAAGAAGCAAATATAAATATTTGAACAAACATATTTTTGCTATTTCAGAAAAGAATGGCTAATATCGTCTATTTAACTGACAGTAGGCACAATTTTACTTCTTTTTTCTTTGCAATTCTGTCCATGCCAGCTCCCCTAGCGATTTCCTTCACTTCCTTCTTCATGTAGTCACCGAGGGGGAATATTGTTTTCTGTAAGGCATGTTGGCTGATTTGGCTTAGAAAAAATGTTTGGTCTTTTTCTGTATCTCTTGAACACAGTAAAGACACACCTGTGAAAACAAGGGCTGAAAGTCTTCAAGCTAGAAAAGATATTCTTCTAGAATATATTATTGGCTTTATATTATAATAGAAAAGTTTTTCCTCACATCACATTTCAGGATCTTCAATAATGCTATAACCATGTAACCAGAAAAATTACATTTTCCAAAGGATACTATGCATTTGTAAGAAGACATTTTAACCACTGAAATCTTTAACAAATTCTGATTTTGACTAGGCAGCTTTTTAAAAGAAGTGACTTTAATTTGAAGAGACCTGGTAGGTACATGTCCTTGGATTTATACATTCTTTAATGGAGGCTTAAAATAACTGATTTTGGATTTAAACCGCTTAGCACAAAATCCAAAGGGACAAATTGGTGAACATTCTTTGACAATGGTTAAGCCAATAAAACAATATAAAATATTCAGCAAATGTATTGGGGGCCTTAATTTAATCCATTGAAAAACCAGTTTAAAACTCAAGGCAGAAGCCTGAAAGCTAACCCACCTACTTCAGGATCAATGCCGTCCAAGTTGTAGCCCACACTTGTCTTTGCATAGTGACCAGTTGCTATGGCATCTGCTCCAAGCTTAGAGACAGCATGGTTGAGGAAGTGTTTGAACTTGACATTGCGGTTGCAGAGAATGTCAGGATTGGGTGTAATGCCAGCTGCATAATCTTTGACCAAGTCACTGTTTAAATTGATGGAATCAAATTTCAAGCTAGAAGTTAATATGTCATAGAAAATGATAGAATGTAGAATTTTAACTTAAACTTTTTCTCAACTTAATCTGAGTTTGTGCAACGTAAAAATTCTAAGCAAAATATAAATCAATAGTGCTGACACTGACATCAAACAACTTCAAAATTACTTGCCAGATGCCAGGTATATAAAAATATTTTAAGCTAATTTCCAGTAAATTTCACCCTTCGCTCCATTTTCTATCGAAATAATATTTGAAATGCACCCTGTTTGCTCAATTTTGTTTCATCAGAGTAGTAAAGTTTTACAACACTTACAAGTGCAATAAAAAATAATATGAAATGTAAAAAAAAAAAATTATGAAGGGATATCACTATTCTGAATTGTAAGCACTCTGACCATACGAGCCACTTTAAAAATTCAAAATATCTGCACTAAATAAGGTAATTAAAAGCAATGAAAAAACCCTTTCTTTTTTTTTTAATGATACATACCTAAATACCTCATGCCAGTATTCTTTGACAAAATTGACCTCAAACAGTGGAATATTTAGAGTTTTACAGACCCATGCAGCATCCTCCTTGTCAACATCTGTGGAGCATTTTCCTTTCTCATCTCGGATGTCCCAGTTTTTCATGAACAATCCGGCTACATCATAGCCTGGACAGGATTATCATAGTTAACCACAGCAAGCATATTAGATATCATATTTAAATAAAAAAACCAAATACTTGTGAAATGATTTAAATTTAAAAGATAAAGTAAATAAAATATAACTTCCTATATTATTATAAATGCATATTATAACTTCCTAATAATAATGTGACCTTAAAATGTGTTCATTATTATTAATATAGCTGTTTAATTTCTGAATAATTAACTACAATTTTGAAGTCTCTTTTTACTTATTAACTAACAGAGATACAATTTCATTATAAATATATAGCCTATAGATAGCCTATTTGGGGATGAAGCGTGTTTTTTTAAATACACTTTATTATTATTCTTATTATTATTTATTAATACTATATAACAATAGCACTAGACTCTAATATTAAATTTAAAGACACACAGGAAGTATAAGTATAAGATCACATTAACTGAAACAATTAATTACAATTAATCACATTTTAATTTAAATACCTTATTAAACTGTTACAAAGTGCAAAAAAATTAGATCACTGCACTGTCTGCACCTGCCGATAGTTAGTTACTATACTATGGCCAAAGATATTTGCGTCATTTTTTCAACTTCCGCAGAACAGTGCACATATGAATAATATGTGTATCGAAGAACTTACTCAAAAGGCATTGGCCTAACTAGCCTATAATTTTAATGACATTTATTAATATTATTTTAAGTTTGACATGCCAAACTACACTACAGTACACAGATCAGAGGACTAAGGTATAATAATAATACTATTTTAGGCCTACTATTAGGATTATTACATTATTATTAGCCTATTTATTTTTTATTTGATTTTGATCATTCACAACCTGACCTCAAACTAATCTCAGTAATCTGAATCTGTATCGAAATGAAACTGAATGCCTATTCAATAAAATGAAAGAATATACTATATAACTTAAGATACGTATAAGTATTCATCTGTCCTTTGATCTACTAGATCTACTCTTCTAGTTACATGATCCTTGATATAGTTACTGTATAGTATAGTATAATTAAGTGTAGGAGTATAGGCCATAGGCTATAGGCTATACTATAGGTCTTGTAGTTGTAGTATTATGCCTAGGAGGCACACTAAATTTTAAATAAAAGTGCTGGTGGACACGTCAATTATATTATGGGTGCACTGCTGGGCAATTCAATTATAGTCAAAAGTGAATACATTTAATTAAAATCATACTAAATTTAACAATTTGATACAATCAATTAATCAATGAATTCAACCAATACATGATTATGATTCATGATAAAAAAAATGTCATAAAATGTATTTGCCTTTTCTTTTCAGCAACAAAGCCGCAACTGCACTATCAACACCTCCAGAAATTCCACATACTATTCTTTTTACTGCTGTCATCTGTCTTAAGGATTAGTTTACATTACAAATCTCCCCACAAATGATAACGGTTAGACTAGGTCGTGGATGACAGTTTTTATAAGTAATCCAAGACACCGACTAAGTAACTCAAGGGCTGTCACTCACTTTAAAAAAAAAAATCCCAAGATTTGGTAAAAAAATGTCCCAAATAATAAGTTGTTTTTTTTAAAAAGGGTGGGAATCGATGTAATTAACGCAATTATAGCTTGAATTAATTCCTCTGAAACACATGGTTGCGTATTTGACCCAAATTTATTTAATAAGACATTTTTTAAAAAAATTATCACCTAAAACAAATAGAGTAACTGCCCTTTGTGCAACCATTCTTTGGGCAACCACTTTACTTAACTCTCGATATAGGCGATCAAAACAAATATATACTCAGTAGGCTCCCTTTGGTCTTCTGTTTAGCTTTTTTTACTTCCGGATCATTTACTGCCATTTTAGAAGCCAGTATGAACAGCGAAAATACGACGAAAAAACCCCCATCTCTTTGTGAAAATTTAAGGTAAGTTGTTGATTGTATCATTTATCCTTAGTATTTAGCGTGAATGAGTTGCTAACGTTATGATAAGGTTGTACAAAGGTTAAAATAGGCTGTAAACTTAAACACTTTAACACTATGACTAAATGACTATGAATATGAAATGTTGTGATTAGGTACTTGGGTAAAATTTTTAAAATGAAGTTATTATTAGTTATAGCTTTAAGAACTAGTTGATTAAATAGGGTCTGAAAAATGCAATTCATTGATACCAAATTTATGTTTGTAGGTCATTTCTAAAGAAAGTTATGATTTTTTTCGTGAATTGTTTTGGGATAACTCTGTTAATTGAGACATTTAGGAAAATATAAAAGTGACTAAAATACAAATTGGGCAGAGATTTGGGAGAGATGTTCAAAAAGAGCAGTAAATTGAAGTTATTTAATGACTTAATGAAGATAACCATGACAAACCATATATATCGTGATCGTCATAACATTATCCAAACAGACGTCATACAATAAATTCTATAGTACGCAAGATGTGCTCATTAATATTCAAAATGGCAGTAAAATTTCCATATGTCATATTTGAATATGAACACAACATGAACAATATTCTTCAAAATATAGGGTCATGTATATCAAATTGTTCGTATTGAAAAGGGGAAAAATGATAAGTAAGTAGCATCTGACATATGGAAAGGTAAACCAATGTGTCCATTAAAAAATTTAATTTTTTCTATATCGCGGATAGCAAATCAATTTTTGGATATTAAATGTACAATATGTAGATTATCGTAGGAGTTTTTCTTGCATAGGGGGTATCTTTCAATTCTATATTCTTTTTGCTAAGTGAAGCTTTAGTTTTTCATAGAATCCCTACAATTAAAAAAGAATTGTGCTGCTTCAACTAAGGCCTACAAATTGCAAATATGATTAACATTATGATGTCATTTGATAGGCCTTTAAAAAGATAAATAAAAGTATTTTTGTGTGTGTGAAGCATTTCAAAGTATCAATTCATCTAAATACTAAAGAAATCTTAATTTTAAATCTATTATGAAGATAAAATATACTTTTCTTAATATTTCCATGCTACAAATGTGTCAGGTAGCTAAGGCCAAACTCTTTAATAGGCCTATTATTTGGGAGTGGAAGTTTCACTATTTAAATCGAGAAATACAATTAAATATCTATTCATATGTATTCTTTGTTAATAATATTAATCTCAAATAACTTAAAATAGTTCTTTTAACATTGTTTATTAATCAGATTGCTTAAGATTTAAAAATGATTTGCTGAGGTGGATTCGGCCATCTTGAAAATGATATCCAGGGAAGAAACACCCATGCCCCATGTGGTGACTGTTTTGAAAATTTAATAAAATTGTTGGGGTAGGTTGGGGGGACTTTTAATTTGCCCATTCTTGTAGATAATTGGATGCTCTAAACAGTGGTCATCATGAAAATCGCATCTGGTGGAGTCTCTATGAGAAATTAAGTAGTAGATATATATATTTTTTTCAATCGTGATTAAAAATCTGAAGATATAGTATTATTCAGCTTCCAAGTCTCTTTAAAATGATATATCACACTACCTATTTAATAAAGAAACAACCACAAAACACATTTTTTCCCAATGCATATGCAATGTTTACATTTTGAAGTGGACAAAAAGTTGAACAAGGGGCACGTAAATCTTTAATTATTTGACACCTTCAGAAAACTGGTTTACCCAAGTACCTAATGTGATAGAATAGTCTGATTGGTAAATTTTGACTACGATTGCCACTATTTTCTCAATGGCCGCCATCTTGGTTAACACGTCACATGAAGTCATCTATCCCTATGCCTAACCTGAACCCTAAATCGATCCATTTTCCTAACCTGAACCCTAAATCAATCCCTATGCCTAACCTGAGCCCTAAAGCCTAAAACGATCCCTAAAATAATTTAGTAAAAATAAACAAAGGGAAGTTACCGGGAAAAAAAGGGGGGTTGGGGAAGGAGGTTGAACTTTATTTTTTTTACTGATGAGAGGACGGCAGGCATTAGATGGGAAGTGGGGGGGAAGTTAGAGCAGTGTTTCTTTCAGAAATTTTCCCCTGGGGAAGCACTTCAGATTTTCGGGGGCGCGGCTGGGACATACGTTTGGGGGGGGGGGGGCAAAAATGGGCTTTGATGGAATTAATTAGTTGAAAATAATGGGTTTCAAAGTGGGAGAGGGGGGGGGGGGCGTAAAATTTAATCTTATCCCCCTGACGCCAAACACTGTAGATACACCCCAGCTAGTGGCGTCAAAATAGGGCGGATGGAGTGGTCCACCCAGGTGTCACTTTTTTCTTTTTATGATGTCAACAAAATAGGGGGGAGAAGGTTGGGAAATGTTTGACAGTTGCTGACAATGGGAGGGAGTGGGGTTTGGATTAGTTGACGTCAACAATCATGTTTTTTCTATTAAAATTTTAATCTTATAAATTTACTGGTTCCTACATTTTTTTAAACAATGTAGTTAGTGTAAATAGTCATATATGTTTAAGTTTTTAACAATATAAGAGTTATTTAATGTGTGTCTGTCTGTGCACTGTATATGTCTTGTCACCCTGTCATTTTTCTCTTAATTCGCTCCCAAGAATGATTAACACATCATTGTACACGGTTACATAAAAAATTATTATTATTAATTTAAATAAAACACCAACTCATCGGTGTTCAATAACAACTGTACCAACTCAAAGACAGAGAGAACTTAAGGCAATTATTGCTCACACTGACAATGCCTCTATTTTAAGTGCTGAATGGTTATATAAGGATGATGTTGACTTGTCTGGTATATCAGTTCCACAAGATGAAAATGATAAGTCAGCTACTATAGACTATATCCATCAGGGGCATCATTTCAGATTTTTTCAAGGGAAGGGAGGGTGGGCAAAACCAAAACTTGGTTGGCTTGTTAAGTTGTTTATTATTAGAGGTGCCACAATACATAGCCATTTAAATAAAACCAGCAAAATCGGAGGGGGGGGGGGGAAATGCCCCCTGCCTTACCCAAATGATGTCCCTGATGCCCATTGTTATGATACAGCAACACCTGGCTACTCCAGGGGAAGATGATAGCAGCTAGAAACTATACAATAATTGCAAGGGGGGAGGGAGGAGAAGGGTGTAAAAAAATTGGTAAAAATTGTTGACGTAATTAATGGACGACCCCTATGCTGGTGTGGCATTTTTTGGACAAAGATATTTGTCAGCTCATGGCATCACTAATAGTAGCTACGCCATTAGGCAGTGTATCTATCGATACCAAAATCGGCTATCATGTTCATAGAGAAGTAGGGTGGAAATCGATATCGCCCGATGAATCTTGATGGGTGTGAGGGAAGTAGCGCATAATTAAGGGTGCTAAAGACAGTCGTACAAACTACAAAATACAGGGGTGCATTATTTTGGCGCATACTTGAATTTGTTGTTTCTTTCAGACAATGTTGATGTGGCATTTCAAACTTCCGGCTGGGAAGCGCAAAATTAGCCATAAAATGATCAAAGACATCTTAAATTCCACACCAGCGGGACATAAATTAAATTCACTCTAGTTATGTCACCTTTGAGTGTGTGCTTTTGCCCTAGATTATTCTCGCCCCTTAAATCATTATAGTATAGTGCCCAGAAATTTTTGATAAATTCAAAATACAAGAATACATTTTTCATATATCTGAATTTAGTTTTGCAACATTCTACACTTAACTGCCACCCAAACCTCATATCCATTAACGGCAACTAGTAATCATGTTACGACGTCGGACGTTACTCCTCCCATTGCGTTGGGAGTCCTGCGGTCGGCCTGGGGTTTCTTATTTTCGGGAGAAGTACCTCCCAACTAGTCCACCACGCCATGAAGAGGCTAAACCCCATGTGGACGTCCTCAAGTTTCCTCGGAGTCGCTCCGTTTTTGCAGATGGGTTATTCACTGATTCAATCAGCTGAAATTGTACTTTTTTAGAGTATCTCAAAATCCTCCCTCTGAAAATTAGGAAGAGTTTACGATTCGTGTCATTCCCCTTGCATTTTCTTATTATAAGTTGCCCAAGATGCCCATCCTTACCCTACATTATGTCATAATAAATAAGTTAAGTATCACGTAAGTCATCAATACAGGTTTGCCATTCATCTGTTAAAAACGTGACCTAAAATACCCATCTCCATGAATGACTGTGGAAAGTAAGACTAAGAACTAAAGGAAGTTTTTTTTTTTTAAAAATGAAAAATTGTACAAACATTAAAGCCAAAATAAAACGAGAAATCACACTTTTTGTGATGACTTTTTGATTGACCTTACATTCATAATAGTGTTGAAGTAGATACTGTTTGTTAGTAAATTTTATTTTATTGAGTTGGCAGCCTTGTAAGGCTCCTATTAGTCCCAGGGCCCATATAAGGCCCATGGCACCTATAAGCCCCTAATCACCTGTAAGGCCCGGGGGCCTTTGAAGGCCATAGTCACCTCTTAGGCCTAAGTCACAGAAACGTGCCTCATTGTTATTTTGGTTAATCCGGCACGATGGATGCCATCAATTATATGCTTACTTTTTTAGAACTGTTGAGTGGAAATATGTAAAAAATAAATAAAAAGGTAGCACCAATATATGTG